TATCAATAAATGTCATTGCTATCAATATATGTCATTGATAACAGTTGTGAATGAATTATTTTCATTTTTATTATAGAAAGATGATATAGGAAAAAGTAATGTTATAAAGGTTCAGGCGACACCACATACATAAGTGTTAAATTCTCTACCTATACCAGATAGGCCATAGGGACAGATGGCTCCCACATTTTACAATTCTTTCACCTCTCAACTAAACCTTTAGGCTTTGATGACCAAGAAACATCCTCCTTGCCTCAGCTTAGGTTTTGATGCAAACACGAAACTTGATTAGAAGGTAATTTTCTCATCTGTTAGTTTTTAATGGGAAGAGGACTATCACTTGAGTTGTTCAGCAACATCAATCATTTTTTGCTTAATCATTTTTGCTTTGGTTAAGTAACACCGATTATTAAAGGGCCCAAATTTGGCTATTGAAATAAAAGACCACCTCAAACCCAACAGCATCATAAGTAATATTTGACATTTTCAATGCTTGCAATACATGGAGGATTGATTTCCCTTTAGACCATGCCAATTTGCCCAAACCACAATAAATTTACCTTTCCCTTCTTCTCACTCCTCTAGGAAAAAGTAAAGCATTATTGGGTAAGTCATGCACTCATCATCTCTATTGCCTTAACAATGCTGCTTTTCAGTGGCAGCCAGTGCAGGGTACAGAGTACCCTTCACTATTGAAACCCTAAAATCAGAGGTTATTTCCAAAAACACAAGCTATATGGAGCATGCTCACAGTGTCTAGGAACAATTATTCCCATATGGCCATAAAAAACCTATTGCCATACCCCTTGTCCCCCATGTTGTGTTCTGCTTTTAGACTTCCACTATTCTTTCTAAAACTCTACCTTTGTCAATTTAGGTGGACATTCTTTAGCTTGCCATAAAATAAAATCATGAATTCACCAATGAAATAAATATGGGGAAAAGGACTAAGTTTCTTCACCAGAGACTCTCTTTTGACCTTCAGTGGGACTCACATGTCCAAATCCAATAGACTTATCCTGAGTATAGTATATAACAGATAAAAGTGCGGCATGGAAGCAAAACAGTGGAGGAACAACACCAAAAGAAAAGACATATCCTTTTGCAAGTTCAATCGAGCAGAGATGGACTTTCTTTTAATGCAGAACATTATCACTAATGTACCTGATTCACTGATTAAAGAATTTCAACTGTTCATCTCGGAACTAAAATTTAAGCAATCCTTGCTCTCTTGGTTTTGCATTGGTTTGGTTCCTTGTATCCCTTCAGTTTTTGTCAAATATTGAAGCACAAGTTTTGGTTACGACATCTCACTCAGACAAGAGCTCTGAGAAACACCTAACTAGAGTTGACCCTGTCAATACACAGCCCCACACACAGAGGGAAATTGCTCAGAAAAGTAACCAACTAAATCAGGATGCCCATTGATCAAACATTCTAAGCTTGCACTAAGACACAAGGTATTTTAAAATAAACACAGGTAGAAGTCATCCATATGCTTACAGTGTCTCAGAAAGGAAAAAGAACATTCAAAATTCCAACAAAGGCAAAAAAAATAATGTTCAAATGCTAACATTTCTATCAAAACACAGCTTATTACAACTCATAAGATGGTAAGAACTACACCCCTTCCATGTTCCACAGCATTTGTGATTTCAAAACAAAACCATTAAATGATTCGAAAATGACACCTGCATTGTGCAGCAAAACCAAATAAATTTAGTATAGTCTACCCATGGTTAGAGCATGGCCTTAAATTAGCTCAAACAAAATGGTAAAATTTTTTTTGATACACAGAAGAAGTAAGAAATGACATACCCTAACACGCCCCTTCCTTGCCATGCTCTCGGAGTCACTGTTATATTGACCAGAGCACCTTGTCTCAGAACTAAAATAGCTATTCCATGACCCTGATTTGCCTGAACTTCAGAAGCAAGCTTCTGCAGGACATTATCTCCGGCTTTAACATTACCAAATTTCACAATCTGATCTCCCAATTGCAAACCATCCTCGGCTGCAGGTGATGCATCGGCTATTTCATCAACCATTGCAAAGGGTATGCTAGAAATGACATCCATATCATTGCTACTGGAAGAATCTCTTGAAACAATATCCTGCAAGGATGCAGATGCAACAGCATTGATAACTGGTGCATTTTGATCGTTTACCCCTGCATTAACACCTAGCAAGATCTTAAATTTGAAAGATAATTCAACACGCAGGAAAACAGAACAAACCTTGCACGAATTCAGCTACTTACCTGAACCTTCGGGGGATGAAGACGTAGGAGCAAGCCTTGCCGAATGTAGAACTTGAATATTTGCATTTATTTTATCAGTAATATCGTTGTGATCAACCTTCAGCTCTGCGGATTGAAGCTTAAAATCAAAGTTAAGAAGATGCAAAACTAAAGCGGCGAATCAACTGCTGCCATCAAATGCTACCACTTGATTCAATCATAATAAAAACCCTAAAAGAGGAAAAAAAAAATTATAGTACCAGCAAGACGACGACGATCAGCTCGCACAACCGGAATGTCAATATCGGAACGAGGAAACCCCTGGCAGGAAGAAAGAAGCAGATAAGCTTAAGGTCTCTGAAATTGGAATCTTACCGATGAAACTAAACGAATTTAGATCCAAAAAAAATTACCTCAGAATCGACGAGGTTACCGGAGAGACCAGGTGCGCCGGGTTGACAGAGACGCTCGATGATGGCGTTCATCTCAGCTTCAATCTCGCTTCTCTTCTCCATCAACTTCAACGTCTCTGCTTTCATATTCGCACCTACCATTTTCGATTTCCTTTTTCTCTCCAATTCTGCTTCGGGGGACAGAGGAAGGAGAAGACCAATGTGCGGTTCCGGGCATTCTTGGAATTCGATTCTGGGCAGAGTTTCGAGATCGGCATTTTCTTTTTGGGCCCTGATAGTCCATCTCCAGCCCAACCAAACATAATTTTTGATCTGCCCCATTATTTAGGCCTAGTTCTAAGTAGGTAACACGGGCCGCAAACAAGGTCTCCATTCTGTGGGCTAAAGCTACTTTTTTTATTTTTTATTTAATTGGAGTAGAACTATTTTGAAAAATATATAAAATAGATATATAATAATTTATTAATAAAATTTTATATTTATTTTTAATTTCTGTTTGAATAGAAGCCTGTATAACTTCCCAGTCTAAATTTGTTTGATATATGGTGCATTTGTTTCAGGATCTTAGACAATCTTCCTCTGGTTGTTCCCATTCCAAAGACTGATCAGGACTCTGTAGTGTATCAAGATGGCTTTCCTGTTGGTCTCAAGGGACAGTATATTGGGGTGAGTTAGTGATTGATCAGTACCTATTTATTGCAACACTTTAAGTTTGCCATGTGATTATGAAGGGAATTCAATTTAATGTTCTTATATTTAATGTCAGAGCACAGAAGAGAAGTATTTCATCCATAATCATTTGACATTCACGGTCAAAATTCACAAGGATCTACAGATTGATAGTTCAAGGATTGTTGGGTTTGAGGTCAAACCATTCAGGTTTAAATTTTTCATTCTTTATCTTGGCACATATTCATTTTTTTCATAATTTTTCTTTTTCAAATGCATTTATGCTTTCTATTAATAACTTCATTATTTTGATAAACCAGTGTTAAACATGAGTATGAGGGTCAATGGAATGAGAAGACCCGTTTAACTACCTGTGATCCCCATGCCAAACGTGCTGTCACCAGCTCAGAATCTCCTCAAGAGGTTGATGATAATAAGGAAATTATATTCACATATGATGTTGAGTTCCAGGTCAGTCCCTGTACCCCTTAGCAAATCAGAAAGGCTTGCTGGTTGTTACCATGAACTGAGCCTTATTACGCTATTACTTTATAGTTGACTTGCCTCTTGATCCCATATCTCAGGAAAGTGATATAAAGTGGGCATCTCGTTGGGATACATATCTTCTGATGGCTGATGATCAGATTCACTGGTTCTCAATCGTTAATTCTTTGATGATTGTTCTTTTCCTGTCGGGAATGGTGGCTATGATCATGTTGCGGACCCTTTATAGGGATATTTCCAAATACAACCAGCTAGAAACCCAAGAAGAAGCCCAGGAAGAAACAGGGTGGAAACTGGTTCATGGGGATGTTTTCAGACCTCCAACAAACTCAGACTTACTTTGTGTCTATGTGGGAACAGGGGTTCAGTTTTTTGGTATGATTCTTGTCACCATGATCTTTGCTGTTCTGGGATTTTTGTCCCCCTCAAACCGAGGTGGGTTGATGACTGCCATGCTTCTGCTCTGGGTGTTCATGGGCCTGTTTGCGGGATATTCCTCAGCCCGTCTTTATAAGATGTTCAAGGGAACAGAATGGAAGAAAATTACTCTAAAAACAGCTTTTCTGTTCCCTGCAACTGTCTTTGCCCTTTTCTTTGTCTTGAATGCTCTGATATGGGGCCAGAAATCTTCTGGTGCAGTGCCGTTTGGAACTATGTTTGCTTTGGTACTCTTGTGGTTTGGTATCTCAGTCCC